ACGCGAGAGAGGGAGAGAGAGAGAGAGAGAGAGAGAGAGAGAGAGAGAGAGAGAGAGAGAGAGAGGACAAAATCGAAAATCAATCCTGCTCAGGCTTGGGCATTCGACTTTGACTCACTTGTATAAAGTTTTATGATTTTTCATGGGAATGAATTTCCATATATTTTATATAATATTGTATTTGTAAGATTGTATTCATGTAAAGTAACAAGAGATAAAGGGAAACCATATCTGTTAAACAGACACTCGATCTACCTACCAAGGATTGACGGATTGATTTAGATATACAGTTGTTGTACAAATATAAAATGTATTATGTAGGATTGCTTGAAGATATATTAGGGAGAGAGTTCGTCTCCTTTGTTTTTATTCAGAAGAAATATCGAATTTTATATCGAGTAACGTAGTGCCATGATACGGAGTTGTACATAAAAATGCATCTTCTTATACGTAGCTTTAGGAATGAAGCAAATGCGTATACTATGTAAAAGATGAACACACGTCGCGCGACGATTACATTTATATTGGCTCATATTGAGTCGCGCCCGCGAATTATGTTTATGCACGTGTTAAAGTAATACATTTTTTCCTTCTCGGATCCAAGGAGAGAATCAAATTGGATTAAAACTTGAAAAAATCGTTGACGCATCCTCCAAGAGGGTTCGATTCTCTAATCACTTGTAAGAAAAACGTATGCATAAATTCAAAATTACGAATGCACGTTTGGAAACCTACGGCACACACACACACACACACACACACACACACACACACACACACACACACACACACAAGCGCGCGCGCGCATACCTATATTTGTACCTATATATTAAGATACCTACGTTAACGTATACGTATAGTTATGAATAAGATAGAGAATCGAACCATACAACTTAAAAATTTAATTACATTAATTGCCTCTCGCGTGAGTTTATATAATTTGTCATGTAAAGAATGCGAGATAATGACATTGAGTCACAGAGATAGTAGTACTAGAGTACGCATTGTAGGAGTGGGGGTAATCTTATCTAGAAAAGGACGCACTCATTTGGGCCTTTTCGTTCTCTCTCGTTTCGCGCATGCGTATAGCCATATATTCTGAAAGAGGGAATCGAAAGAAAGAACGAGTCGAACGAGAAAAGTTTCATCATTACATGACGGGACAAGCCTGATTGAGCCTGATCACTTTGGAATCAAACAAAGAATTGAGTTTGATAAGGTTAAGGGCTCTCGATGAATAATATCAATAAATATTAATGATAAAAATCTATTACTTATATCTCTATAATTCCAGTTATGCGAGCATATTGGCCAGCACCACCAGATTGTTTCTTATAAAGATAGTCAAATTCACATGGTTTAGTTAAGTCTCGCGGAAAGAAACTTTTGGCTTTCCAAGAATGACCGGACAAGCCTGATCTCTTTGGAATCAAACAAAGAATTGACTTTGATAAGGTTAAGGTTTCCCAGTGCCAAGGGTTGCTCTTCCAATTCCTTATTCTTTCTTTTAATCCCCTCTCTCAGAGTATACGGCTATACGCATGCGCGAAACGAGAGAGAACAAAACGGTTCCAAATTAGAGACCCTCTAATCAGAGTCGCGAAATAACGGTTCCAATTTTGATTGGTGCTGACATTTTTCAGCAAAAACCGGAAATAGTCATGGCGTCAAATTTAAGTCGACCTACATTCGCTGCCTATTTTGCTCTTTTTCAGGATTACGAGGAAAGACTTTCATAATATAACCCTTTTTTAAAGAATTATTGCAGTCTGGCGCAGAACAACTAGTCATTCTAAAAAATATAATTTTATGAAATACAGTATTAATATAAAAAATATAATAATGTAATTTCTTTCTGATAACTGTATTTAGATTCACATGTATTAGGTGTTAATGTATCACAATCATAGTATTTTTATTGCAACTGCGATGGTGCTCGTACGTGCAGTAGTATTATATTTTTCTTCATGCGTGCACGTAATGTGCCCTACACAAAGAAAAATTCTATGTGTAACAGTGGGGGCATATTTGTTTATAGGTCGACACGGGCGCGCGTACGCACTCGCTTCGCTCGTGCCGTCGCGCCCGTCCCCACAATAAACAACTTTCCCTTACTATTACACAATGTACTATAATCAACTATAATCGCTACTTCCGGTTTTTGCTGAAAAATGGTATCGCCGACCTAACCTTATTGACGTTATTTCGCGACTCTGATTAGAGGGTCTCTATTCCAAATGAGTGCGTCCTTTTCTAGATAGAATTACCCCCACTCCTCAAATTTCCGACTGCGTACTTTAGTACTACTATCTCTAAGCATTGAGTAGGGTTACCGTATCTGAATCACAAAAAAAGAGTACATATTATGTACACTTTTAAGAAAGAACGATGATCCGAAAGGAAAAGGTACAATTTTTTTATATATTAAATGTAGATATTTATTGGGAGTACAAATTAGTTCGGTCCGTTTTTCAAAAGATGATCGTCTCCAAAGACGAGTCATTTTTTCGAGATGGAATTCGAAAATTGCCTAAGAGATGTAGGGGAAAAGTAATAGCCAGCCGATGGACAATACTTTAATTAATCTGTTCATTCATTTTGTTTTGAAATAAATGCATTTTTGAACACAAAAAACGGACCGAACTAATTTGTACAACTAATAATAAAATAAAAAATAAAATAAAATTTCTTTAAAACAATTTTTATTGATTCTTATTAATCTAATTCTTATTAATTGATTCTTATTAATATAATTTTATAAATACGAAATTTTTTAATAATCAGAAATTTTACGTAAAAGAAGTATACATAAATGTATTCTTAAGGAGATGCTGGAGCCGTCTGTATTATTGATAAAACTAGGAAAAAATATAAAATTACAGATTTCTTTATCTATTTTTATCTTCAGCGTTGGTCGTTATACTGAGATTAAATCAATAAAGAAATCTGTAATTTCATATTTTTTTCCAGGTTTGGACACAATATAGACCAGGAGCCAGGTACATTAGCATGAATATTTAAAAATAATTAAGTGAAGAAAGAATTTTTATTGTGCGAAACTATTACGAAGAAGTTAGAGAGGAACGAAAACGTCAAAAACGCTAGTTTTATCGGTAATATAGACGACACCGCAGTATCTCCTTGTACAGCTAATAACTCTATATATGTGAACTAACGACGTAAGATGGATAATTTGATGCTGTCGAGCGTCAAATAAATTATGATTATCGAAGTCATACGTTTATGCGAATAATATAGATATTGTATTCGCTGCATTTTGCGCGTTTATTTGTAACAGGGCTCGGCACGAAATGCAACTTTCGGCCGATTTTCGAATCGACTCCGTCTATCGCTATCCCCTTCACCTCACTACCCCGCCCCAAATGCCGCTCGACGCTTAGGAGCGTACTAAGACGTAATCATTACGCTCATAGACGTAAGCTCATCTATCTTTTGTTTTCGCTTATTATATACGAAACTAATAGTGAATTCTCTCGGTTGACCGTATTAGTGTATATTATTGTACATTAAAGCCGTTATACACAAATTTAATCCGTGTAAAAGTAAAATGCAAGTATTCGAATTATAAAATATAGATTTTACGTAACGGCACAGTAACATCTATTGCAGATCTCATGGTTTAATTCCGTTTTTATATTTATATCAAACAAACATTTTTATACTTTCAATTTGTGTACTATTTTAATGTGCATCAGTGCGCTCTGAGTGGATCCAATCGAATTCGCTGTAAGATAGAATGAAAAAACGCTTCTTACGACTATGAGCGTCTTAGTACGTTCCTAAGCGTCGAGCAGTATTTGGATTGCGCGCGGGGTAGTGAGGTGAAGGGGATAGCGGTAGACGGAGTCGATTCGAAAATCGGCCGAAAGTTGCATTTCGTGCCGAGCTCTGGTTTGTATTAAAGACAAAATTCTTTTTTTTTTATGCGACTCCGTAAGTACTTATAATACCAATTTTTTCACGATAAGAACAAATCTTCAATATTATTATATAGAACACAACTCAAAGAGAAGTATTTTTTCTATAAATCAGTCGCGATTTTTTCTATCTGATCGATAACGTAATCCATGGACGATTTTGTGGGTGATGGTTGGCAATTTACAACCATGCGAAAAAAATTGCCAATCTCCTTCTGCGGTAATGGCATATAACTAATCATGAGAGTTCCCTCTAGAATCAAACGTTTCTTTATTTCGACTGTGACAAGGTACAGTCTCTCCCACCAATTTGGAGTTTCATTCTCATTGCGCATTGTTGATGGTATATACCTGAAAAAAAATTCGTCTTATAACTGCGTATTTCTCGATAACGCCGAATCTCTTACCAAAAACAAATGTTGCAACACTGGTAGTGAGGTTGCACCAACCGGAAACCGGCGGTCTCTTTAATTCGCTTCAGAAAGTATTCCACGCAGGACATTGCTTGTTCCACTGATCGCGTAAGGCCGATCTTGCCACGGGCTTTCCACATTAACCAAAATTTCACTGCATCGACCTTAAAAAATATTATTAAATAGATTAAAATGAGTAATTGTTGCGAGTTCACTCAAATAAAAAAATACGCGCGTAACATGATCGTTACGAACTTCAGTTTCTATTTCTTGTACTAATTCAATTGTTTGTTTACTTCTCCTGATAACCAAAAAAGGAGACCGTTTCAAGTAATCACGTATATTTTCTCGAGTTAAATAGATTTCATACAGTGGAAGTTATAAAGGTATTGTGGCCGATGAGCTAATTACCATATTCATCCTTCAGATCTAGATAATACTCGTCTACCAACCTTGGAAATTTGGCTTGTTGGTTTAGACAATCTGAAGGATTTCCGGCACACGTTCTCAAACGGTATCAATAACGATACATGGCATACGCATTCCTTTCTCTCAAGCCGGCTAAGCCAGACAAGTTACTTAAACTGTTCTGGACGGAAGCGTATATTCTTTCATATGACTACCAAGTACCTTTGTAGAAAGGTATTTTACAGTATTTATGTTAAGTCCTCTCACTTGGTAAATCATTCTCATGCAATGATTCTGAGACGTACATTTCTCAATTAGACGTACTTACTCAATTATATTTACAAAAAAAGAAAGAAGGCGACAACTATTGATTGTCTTGAATTCAATTAGTTATATCTTTCGTTCTCAATGAACATACATTGTCTTTAATGTTGTGAGATTATTTCATTCATAAACCAATACGATTGTTATTTACAAACTGAGCTTATTATATGAGATATTGATATATTTCATTCAAAGAATATTTCAAACTAAGATAATTTTTCTTGCAAGGATCCTTGTAAAACTTATGATATCTTTCTTATAATTTTGTTCAAAATTGTGACATTTTTATTATTAACAGTTTAATCGAATACTAAGATGTTTTATCGTTTAATTAATTTTATTATTTCCAGGATAATTATTGAACATATTTAAACATAAATCTGTATTATTGTTTTTTAATACCTTTTCATTTTCAGATTAACATTTCAATGAAATATTCATGACAGATTGTAATACATCTATTACTTACAATATCTATTACTTACAAAATTTACAAGATAATATTAAATTATATCAAGCGAGAATTTTATTCTAAAACGAATTGCGTTAATAACACTTTTTTCATTGTAATAGCTTATTGTGATTTGAATTTATACAATGTACAAATTTTATATTCTGTAATTATTAAATATTTTTCTCAACTTGGCCGGCGTATATATAATATCTTCTCGCTATCGAACAGTAATTAATGATGGTTTTTGACCAAAGTTATAAAAATATAAAAATTATGTTTTCTATTTTCTACGTATCTACAGATCTTTTAAACGAAAATCTTAGCTCTTTCTGTAATATACAAGTTATTGTGAATAAATTCCGACATGATATCTCGTAAAAATTCAATATAGTGGATACGTAATTACCTTCCTGCCACATTGCACGCTTTTATCGCCTGTGTCCCAACTAACGTCGTAAAATTTGTCCTGCTGGAAAAGATACTTGGCCTGGGCACAATTTACCTCGTACAGTGTATTTTTACCTTTGACCAGAAATAAAGAACACTGCAACGGTGCACCGAGCATCTTGTGCAGATTCCAGGACATCGAGTCTGATCTGAGCCAGTCATAAAGAGTCATAAAGTAAAGAGAATTAGTTAGAAAAACTGCTTGCATCAGGAAATCATTTTTAGTTCTTAACGTTGCAGAAAAGAAAGTATTCATTTTCCCGTTTTTTTCGAATACATAGAATTTTAACATTTTGCCTAAACATCCTAATAGAAATCGATCGCTTGAAAATAAATCACGCAGACAATGATTATACTCAAGACACTGGTATGCGAACCAGCAGTAGACTTTCAATTTTAGAAAGGTCGTCACTTTCCTTCCGCAACGGCATCATGATAAATAATTACGAACAATTCGATGCCCCGCAACCTGTACCGATATTTTTCCGAGAACAGCAAAGTTCCACCGAGACATGCCTGCAACAAACGTCTGTTTAAATTACGGTTCTAATCGACTTTCATTATATCATACTTATACTGACGTCTACGTGCAGCCAAAGTGACTCGCTTCGGCATACTGCGGCGATTTCTGGTAACGGATCGATGGCACCAAGCACAGTGGTTCCGGCGGTGGCGTTTACGAAGAACGGTTGTTTTCCATCATTTCTCGCCTTTATTATAAGTCTCTTTAGGTCAGCCACTTTCATGCGACCAAACTCGTCTGTTTTCACCTGTAACGGAAGTATATTCTCTCGTGTAATTAATCATTATGATTATTAGCTTAAATATATAAAACATACAATTCAATAATTAATTATCAATTGAAATAAGAATCATATATAGAGAACATTTCTTTAAATTTCGGTTTTTTGAAAGAAGATTAAAATGTAGCACATTTCTTCAAACAAGTATTATAGATATTTTTCCACATTATCATACCTTATAAACTTGATCGATGCCAAAACCCAACCAATTAGCACTTTTCAGGATTGAATAATGACTATCTTCGCTAGTAAAACATGCTAAAGGTGATTTCAACGGAAAGAGCCCCGACTTTTTGATAGACGGTAATATCTTGTGTCTGGCCAATATCATTCCGTACATATTCGATATACTACCACCTGGACACATTATACCATCAGCGTCTGGCATCGACGGGTAGCCAACCAGCTCTAGAGATTTCTGTATCACTTCTCGCTCTATGAGAGTAAATACGGGTGCGACTTCGTAGGTATACCTAACAGAAATGTTCACAATCAATTAGCAGTTAGTTACTTGTACTTCACTTCATTTAGATGCACATAGCATCATTTACAACTACATTGAAGAATATTCCTGAAGATAATTTATCGAAGAGAAGTTATCTAACTTTCATTTTTCTAACAAAACTAAAACTTCCTCGACGATGATAAGAACTTCAATACATCGTTAATTGAAATTATCATAGGTCGTGCATCGTCTGAAATGCAAATTAGATTAGCAATATCTGACGCACACGAGACAATAAAAAAATATAGCTTTGATTATTCATTCGTTTTATTGAGAAAGGTAGATATCATTACATCCAATTACGAAAATGGAGAATACACACATTGTTCACTATTTTAAATTATCTCTTAAAATTTGAAAATTATTCTTACTGGCTGGTGTTCAACACGTCCGTTAACCAAGAGCCAATTAATCCATATTCATCAACTCCAGCGTAGAGTTGATTATGAAAATGAGGACTAGACGTTTTTACGGAAAACTGTACAGTCTGTCGTATCACTGTTTCTATTTCCCTGTTACTTGCTGGCTTGTCGTCCAAAGACAGTGGCATGATTTTCTATGAATAAGAAAACAATTTCTCATCAATAAAATAAATATTGCTATAAGCTTTAAACAAATTGTAGTTTACGTTATAGAATATAATTGCTATATTAACAATGCAAGTTGTTCATTTACATTTGTTTACAATTGCTCACTTGGTCCAACTTACAATTAATACAAAAAAACATAAAGAATCATAAAATACACTAACGCACGCGCACGTATAAAATACAATATATTGCTTATTCATTTTAATACACACCAGATTGCATTTCGTAATTGTATTATGTATGTTTTTTTGCATAAAAATGAATCCACCTCAGTTTATTTTTTGATTAATAACTCCTTTTTGAGAGTTTGCTTCACACTATTTTTACAATGCCACAATGATTGCATTTCGTTATTCATTGCACGCGAGTACTGAATAATTATAGTATACATAATTCACATATTTTCAATATTCGCAGTGAAGAACGGAACGGAGTCATAAATACATACAACAAGCAACACTACTGAAATTCTTTCACTACAAATGTGTTGAATCGATTTAAAACAGCATTGGTACATGATCTCACTTCCGAGCATCTTGTAACTTTATGCGCATATTTTGTTTCCTTAGAAACTACAGTTTTCAAGAATTTTTATATTAAATTATGTTTAAATGATGTGCGCGTGCATGCAAGTGCAGAAAATGTTTATAACAGCAGGTAAACTCATATCTGTGATATATATATTATATTAAAGTTGTAGACATTATGTTCACCGTATCTTTTACAGAAAAATCAATAAACCCAAGTAGTATACTGACTTATTTGCTGTTATTTTAATGTCAAAAGGACATTAAAAACGTTACTTTTCTGTTGTCAAACTGATGACAAATAAGTCAGCTTGCTACTTGGGAATTTTGGAGTGTATTAAGATTGTAATAAACTACCATATATGTGTATATATTAACTATATGTGTATATATAAATAAATCAAAACGTCAAAAACTCAAATTTATAAACTTGTTACTTTGGATTTAAAATATTTTTTATTTTATACTATCCCTATCTATAAGGAAACTTTCTGAAAGAATGATATATTATTGTGGCATATCAAAGTTTCTTGAAAATGAAAGCGACAATTCATTTGGTGAACATTCCGATTACACGATTAAAACTGCAAACATTGTCCTCATCACAAACTTCTGCGTATCATATTATTATTCCATGAGCAAGCATTTCATTGTGTACCGTGGAATATTTTCATAGTACTGTCTACGTGTGCTATACATCATAATCGTTGAAATATTTAAGTTAAATATTTCAATAGAAATGAAGCAAACGTATTTATTATGCTACTATTATTAATAATACTATTAATACTTTATAATATAATATATTGCACTTGTGGCATTATTACTTTTTAATGAATATCAGTGTTATATTGACGGTTTTCATTACGCATTTGATTATATTAATCTTGCTCTGAAATGCTTAAGAACAATCTTCAAACAAAGATAACACCTCGTTCAAGAGCGAAAAGAGAGAGGAGTGCATCTCAAAAAGAACGTTTAAAAACAAACAGAAGTGTTTCTAAATCAAATTTTAGCAATTATGAAATACGATAAAGCAACCAACCAAGCTCGTTTTCCAACTAATGTGCGACAATTAAGATGTTATTCCTAGAGGAATAAAAATATTGTCGAGTTCATTTAAACTCATAATAAAACTTAACTATTTTATAAAAAAAAAAAGAAGTTGGACACTAAGACTTGTTTTGATATGTCCTTCCATTCACAAGGTTAGGAAATGTTACCATTATTTTGCCGTTACTTCTTATAATAAACAATTTGATAATGACATTGCAATTTTTCAGGATAGTAAAGCTCTAAACACAATGCGAAACAATAGGGACAAGAACAGCGATAGGAATAAATAGATATAAAGCGATATATAATTATCATTTCCTGTTGCACACTATGCCGCGAAAGAAATCAAATTGACAACCAATCTGATCGTATAGATTGTATATTCTTCTATCTGTGATATATATATATATATATATATAGACTGATAGTATATTCTTCTATCTGTTTTAAGTTAAAAAAATACGAACACTGATTGATAAGCTATAGAGCGATAGACACAGAATTCCAACTCGTGGAAAATTTATCGCTTTGCCTTATTCCGTATTCCTATGTGCAAGGATGTTGCCTCGTAATGTATTTTAAAGCTTAACTAACTAAACGCTAAGGTTATGCTAAGATTGGAAAAGTTACTTTGAAAAGTAACTTGTCACCGTTATAAGTTATATTTACTGAGAAAAGTAATAAGAGTATATAACTTTTATAACACGTAACGTTACTTCTAACAAGTAAAAAAGGTAACACATTACAAGTTAGGACTTATTTTTTTCAGTTACGAATTTTTCAACCTGTTACAAATAACTTTTCCAACTCTGGTGTTACCATTACTTACCGTCATAAAAATTCGCAAACATTATCAAATCGTTATTATAACAAGATAAAAATCGACAAAATAATTACAAGTAATGCGTTATTTCCCAACTCTACAATTTTTACTAATTAATGTTTAACAATGTTTAATCGAATAATGTTTAATATTTTTCCATCGATTTTCACTTAATAAACTATATAAATAATCTCTTTAAAAAAAAAATGAACGATACTATTAATCCTTATTTAATTGAAAGAGAAAAATAATAGAAATATATGATGTGACATAAAATTATGATGTAGTGCAAAATATGAAAATATAGTATTACGATCGAAGTAAATTGAAATGTAAAATAGTTTTTAAAAAATTATTTGTAAAAGTCATATGTAAAAAGTGACAAGTTAATATATTCGAAACTTTTACATAATTGGCCCCGAAAATTAAACTATTATTTACCTGTAAATATTGAGGATGACGGAATCGTACCACAGGTTGATCGTCAGATCGATTGAATACATTCTCTTCTTTAAGAATCTTCAAGAGTCTCTCCAATAGCTCGATGATGCTGTCGGTACTTGATGCAGCCATCGCGAAGAGTATACTGACTGACCAACCGACAAATCTATCGGTACGCTTGTTTGGCCCCTTCCATTTCAACTTCTACTAACGAATCGCTCTTTGTCGTAGTCATTGAAAACACGTCGTATGTACGTGAACCTTGACGATTCCATCGTGCTGCTACGGAATTCGCGCGTGCCAATTACGCAGAGTTCATCTCTCTCCGTTACGCTCGAGATGGTTCTTGAACTTTGCCTTTTCGTAAATCGTACAAAAATACAATATAAAATTACTGATGTACTCTAGATATTAGTACTTTAGATATTTTGAATTAGTTTAAAAGTAATTTTATAGAACATCTTATATACTAAAATTATATATTGATTTGAATATTGATATTGAATGATCTTATTTTGCAGTTTTCTCTCAATTGAGATCTTATTTAATTAAATCGTATTTTTTATACTCTAAAAAGTGTCGGTGTGAATTTAACACTTTAATGAGAATTTAATATATATCCAAGCGGTGCTTGTACATTACGTTGGTGTTAATATTAATACCAACATGGTGTGGAAACTTATGATATTAAATCTATGTCATATTAATATTAATATTAATACCGACACACAGTGAAAATTATACACTATTATATATATACACTATTTTTTAGAGTACACCAAAACTGTAGATAATCGTAGGAAAAAAATTCGTGTTTATTTTCAGAGAAAAATTATGTAATAATATCTTTTTTATTTTATCTTAATACATATAATAACGTAATATATTATTCTATTTAAGTACAGTATTAAATACTTTACAGTTCTATGTTTAGTTTAAAAATATAAGAAATTAATCTCTTGGGAAACAATGGGAAAAAACACGTTCTTCAAATTAAAAGTTGTTATAATTAAATGTTTTCAGAACTGTGGCTTTATGGAATATTTCTGTCTCTTTTTTATGTCGTATTTTACATTATGATTATAAGCATTGTAAGTTACATTATCACACTGACACAATGCGCAATTGTAAAGAAATATAGACATATTTCTTTTTCTTGTGATAACGGAAAGAAAACAAAGCATAATCAAGTGTAAAAAGACATTTTATGACGGTGCTATTATTATTAACAAAAAAATGTACTTATCTAATATTTCATGGACATTGCGTAATATTCATCTTCTAAGACTGCGTCCCACTTAACGCTCGCAACGCAAGTATTATTTGTCCTTGTTTAACGTTTGATAAACAACAAGGATGAAATAATTCCACGAATACTATGAACCTTAAATGGAACGCAGCCATAAAGAAACTTTAGAACAAGCTGCAATTTAACTTTGGGAAAAACTATTTTATCTTAACAAAATGAAATATATAAGAATTTTTTTTTGTTTGTCAGTGTGTAAAACTAAGAACTTCTAGGCTAAACATCTCAAAAAAATATTCTATTGATAACTTTTTACCGAAGTGATATACATACATGTCACTACACATTTTCTAGCCAGAAGAATTTTCCAGAAATTAAGAGGATTATAATCTTAAATCTAGCTTATCTAGTATGTTATAGCTGTATGATATGCCTCTATCTTTATAAGTATGATTTGCCGTATATCAGTGGAAAATTCTCTAACATTAAGAGGACATAAAAGAACAGAATTTTTTTGGAGGGTAAATAAAAGTTAAGTGCAGTTATAATAAAACATATATTGAGTCTCTTTTTATTTAAAAATAAATAACAAATGCTTCAAATCTTTTTCGAGTTAGTGAGTATACAATAGCCTCGACATTTTCATATTAAACTTTTTTGCAAAATTATCTCAGGAACACGTTCTTAAAAGTAATCCGGCAAAAATCAAGCGACGCGGTAGCGTCGCGACGCCAAGTGCATAAAATAAAAATATAACCATTTGACATGATGACATGATACTTGATGTGTGTATATGTTCATGTCGATGTCAAATTCACGACGCTACCACTAGCTTTATCTCGAGTTTTCACATCTTGAAACTTTAGATTAAAATTACTCAGAATTTAAAAGCAGAATCAAAAATCTAAAAACACTTTTATTATATAATGTCATCGGTATTTTTCGATTGCGACCAATCCGAATAAAATTGGTGCAGCCGATACCGAGATCTAGAGACCGAGTCCCGAAAAGGGTACGTTTCAGTTATGTTCAGACGTACGTGTGACACATACATATATTTTTCAATCGTACGTGTGACACATACATGTAAAGCGTTTTGTCCATTAGGGTGCTGTTCACAATGTCTACATTCAAAAAACAGTCACATGTGTAATAACATACATATGTGTATAACACATGTATGTACATATGTAATAATAATAACACATGTATGTTAAATAATAATAAATAAATTAATAAATAAAAATTAAAATAAATAAATAAATAAATAAATGATAATAAATTAATAATAATAAAATAAATAACTTAAAATATTAATTATTTAAATAAATAAATAAATAATAAAATAAATTGAGAGAGAGAGA